CTGATGTGTGGCTACACAGAAAGCAGAGAAGAGGAGAGCAGTGGAAAGCCTTGGGCAGATCCTGCTAGCGAGGCCCCATCATAAGCCAAGCAGCTGCCCGCAATTTGGCAGATCAAATCCCACCAGGCTCAAGGTTGACTCAGCCTTCCAAATGTCAGGTTTCCAAGTGATGAAATCCATTTTAAAAAGAAAAGAACCAAGTCCATCTTCCAAAACAAATTCTTTTACTTAGGAAAGGATCAAATTGGCAAAGTCCATGGTAATTCCGGATCTGACCCAACCCGGAACTATCCCACAATATTAGAAGTTAGAAACAACCCCCAAAAGTCACATTCTCCAATAGAAGTAATACAATGTTGCTTGATGTTATAAATCTCCACCTCAAGGGGCCCAAGCACTGACAGCTCGTTTTCCCACGGGAAGAAGAATCACCTAGCCTAAACAACTCTCACTATCTCCACTCCTCCCCCCTTAGGAATGTGACAAGCCCGAATCCCTTCCCCCCATGACTGCCACAGAGAAAATAAGAAAAAGAATATAGACTAAGCCTAATTAAGATAGCTACACATATGTCAATTTTGGGCTTGACACCATCCTTCTGAGGTAGGTAAAATGAGGACCCAGATTGTTGGGGGCAATTGCCTGACTCTGTAAACCGCTTAGAGAGGGCTGTAAAGCACTGTGAAGCGGTATATAAGTCTAAGTGCTATTGCCATAGCTCTGGGGATAAAAGGCAGAGGGCAGAGATGAATAAGTGTGGCAGACAACTATTCATTTTCTGGATGGATGGACTTGTTAGCCAGTGAGATAAAATTTTTGCTGGGGCTACCAGCATTCCTAATAAAGGAATATTTTGAATATAGTTACAATGGTTGCAGCATCCTGGGGTCATGTAATGGCCACTTGCAACCTTCATAGTCAGCTTCTGAAAGCAAAAGTCAAGGCAGGGAACTGGATTTGCTTAACGACCACGTGATATAGAGCACGTGGGTGGTGCAGTGGTTAGAATGATGTGGGTTTGTCATGTTTGGGGAGCTGCGTCAGAACACCTCTCTCCATGAAACCGGTACCTGGTGCCGAAAAAGTTGAAGGTCACCATTGTAGGTCACTTTTTTCAGTGCCATTGTCACTTTGAACGGTTGCTGAACAAATGGTTGTTAAGTCAAGGACTACCTGTATTTCAGTTCTGCCTTGCAAGTGTTACCTTGTCGACTTTGCGCTGAACGTTCCCATGGTTGTGATTCCGCTGGTCTTCCAGAAACGTGTTAAGATGTCATCAAGTCTTATCGTCTGTCCTCTTCTCTTCTCTTTTGTGTCGCAGTTCCAATGGGAAATCGGTCACGTGGGCCCAGAACGAAAAAAGTTCGAGCCGAGGAGCCCACCTCTGGCAAAGGCTTTCGATCCACATCAATAAGAAAGACAACCCCAACCAAACCGCCGTGATCAAACCCTTCTCTAAAAGCACAGACAGCAGCCGGCACGGCAGTAGCACCACAATCGCAACCACTTTCCCCGAATCCGGTGCCAAAACCCTTTACGATGTCTCTGAAGCTGAAGAACACTACCCGGCTCAGTACCGCATTCAAACTCCGTCCCCCATCAGTACGGTCAGCCAGAGAACTGCTTCCCTCAGCCGGACCGAAGACGATGTTCCCACTTTCCAGTCGGAACAAGCCCAACGGAGCAGTTCTTCCCAAGGCTCCCTGATGGAGCAAATCAGCAGCGTGGTGACTCGGTTCACCGCCAACATCAGCGAGCTCAACTCCATGATGCTCTCCACCCCCACGCCAGGCCCCATGGTCACCACCCCCTTGTGCTCTTCCTACCTGATCCCGAGGGAGATCCAGCTGCCTACCACCATGACCACGTTTGCGGAGATCCAGCCTCTCCCTGCCATTGAGGTCAACGGAGCATCTCAGTCAACCAGGGAACCGTCTTGCGGAAGTGTCAAAGAAGGCCCTTCCGCAGAGGCTCCAGCCCCTGCCAAGCCCGAGATTGAAGAGTTGGTGGCTTTGACGCCACCTTCTCCATTCAGAGACTCCGTTGATTCTGGAAGTGCTTCTCCCAGCTCTCCAGCATCGGAATCCGCCCTCTGTATGCCGTCTTCACCGAAATACGACTCACTGATGATAAAGGATTACACGCAGAGTTCTTCTTCCTTGTGAATGCAGTGAAAGTCAATGTTGAGTCACTACAGCTGCAGCTCCATCAAGGAGGGGAAGAAGTCCAGCCTCCCTGTTCTCTAGTGTTTACAGACACAGTGAGAGTAATGTGTCGTTTTTTGGGGGGGAGGAGGATGAGGATGAAAAGACGCAAAGGGAGAATAAAAACACCAGGTGGGTTACGCTCTTTTAAACGCACACGCACCCACTCCTCCATACACGACGAAACTTTTTCGCGGATTTTTCGTGGCCTTAAAAACACGGGCTTTTCAATGGAAAAAAAAAAAAAACTTTGCATTTATTCCTGAGGGCTGAGAGGGTGTCTCTTACATCACTTACTTGCCAAGTGCTTTGCAACAGTGAGTAATGGGGAACTGGCGGTGGAGGGTGGGGGGAAGACAGCAGATAAACAACCAGAAGCGATCCAGTGTTTGTTTACTTGGATTCCTTAATCCAGAAGTAAACCTTGATTGTTATTTTTTTTTTTTTCAAGACACGGAAGACCAAAATCTTGAATGTACATTTTGTAGTGAACTCAAGACCGGGGACCAAAAGATCCAGCTATTTTTGTTTCGTTTTGTTTTTCCTTTCAGTTGAAAGTGTTTGTTTTTAAATGAAGATCTCAACCGATAGTAATATATTCGGTCACAACGGAACATTGTTGACTAACTTGGCAGTGCGCTGCCCATTGAGAAATGTCAGTTAACACAATGCAGCACACAGCTGCACTCAAAGAGGGCTTTTCAAGAATCACTTCCCATCCGAGGATATGTTTAAGAGAGAGAGAGAAGGGGGAGAAAAAAAATATCTCTCTTCAGTTAAGTATTATTATTATTTTTTTCCTTTATTATCATGGGATTCAACTCCAGGACGACAGCATTCTGGGAGGAATTTTTCCTTACCATTTCACCGTGTTGCCGATCAATAACAAAGTAGCAAAAAAACAAAAAACAAAAGAGGGGGGGAAAAATCACAAAATAATAATAATATAGTAATAGTATTTTGTGGAGTACTGTTTTGTAATTCCCTGATCAGGACATAACGTTGAGCTGAATATTCACTTTCTCTACTGACGTGGTGGAGCATAAGGGTTGCTACCTGTGTTCCCGAGGAAAACGCATGTTTTTACAGATGTTCTTGCATTAACCATGCCAGGCAGCAAAGATAAAGATCTTCCAGTCATAAAGAGGAAAACAGCCACCTCTAACAGTGGGAGACAGGCTTTCTGTAAAGGGGTGGAAAGGGTGTGTAAAGCATGGGAGGGACAGTTCTAGCATTACTTCAGATTGGGAGACAAGAGTGCCACTTCACCTTCTGTCCATCATCATCTTCATTTAAGGACCCCATAATCCCTTGCAGGGGTGGAGTCTCGGCAAATGAATGAAGCTAGCAGAGTGTTTTAACGGCCAGATGCCTTTCCTGTCACCAGTGCGGAGTTTTGTTTAGCAGAAATATTCTCAGTGTGCCCAGAGAGAGAAATATATGCCTCTACCTAGGACTGAACTCACAACCTCCGGATTGTGAGGTGAGAATTCCACCTCTAGGCCACCACACCTCTCCTAGTCAGCCTCCATCTGCAGAAGAAAATGCAATATAAGAACCTCAGTGTCGCGGGCCAATCAGGCAACCATCATTTTTCACAGAGTTTTAAAAACTTTATTAGGGACCATTCTCTTCCCCACAACATCCCTACTACCACTTCTACATTAAGAGTCAACTTTTTCAGGATGTTCCAACAGGCAATAGGCTCATGATCCATTTTTTGGGGGGGGCTCGCTGTCCTTTCTGTCCTTGTCAATTTAGACATGCACAATAATCCCCCAAATCAGGGAATCACCCAATAATGGCCATCATTAAGGTCACGGGCTGCTGTTTTTAATCTAGTGAAAGTAGCTTGATTGCACTGAACAACCTTCTTCAGGTGGTCCGGAATTGGGAGAGAAGGTGACTGAGCTGCTAAATTAGACGCGGTTCGAGCCTTCAGTTAAATAAGTAGAATTTCAACATCAGAAGCATACCTTGTTCTGTCCTGCCTTTAAATGAAACCTTTCTCCTGCATTTTCCATTTCTATCGGGTCTCCAAACTAGGCAACTTAAAAGGCTGGTGGACTTCAATTCCCAGCATGGCTGGCTGGGGAATTCTGGGAATCGAAGTCCACCAGTCTTAAAGTTGCCAAGTTTTTAAGATCCCTACTATATCCCATCTAAACATCTAGCTAGGCTAACCCTTTTGGCCTACAGGGAGTCCTCTACTTACGACCAGAATTGGGACTGGATTATCTGTTGTATGTCACCGGAGTCGTAAATCAAGTTGTACCTGATTTTAAGGTGATTTTTATGGCAGTCATTAGACAAATCATTGCGGTCATTAAGCAAATCCCAGGGCCATTAAGGGAATCCAGCTTCCCCCTTGCCGGAATTCAACAAAAATGGTTGCAAGTTTCATTCACGTGACCAACAGTCACAAATGTGATTCAGTCACCAAGTGTCCAAATTGTGATCATGTGACCACAAAGATGATGGTGACAGTTGTAAGTGTGAGCAAGTTACATTTTCCAGGGTCATTGTAGCCTTGAACCATCGTTAAAGGAACGGTTGTAAATTGAGGACTATTTATATATTGCTACAGTTGTACCTTGGCACAGTTTGCTCAAGGGTTCCAATGAGGTGTAAAATATCTATTGGGATAGGTAACTGTTGCTAAACTACAGGCAATCCTCGACTTACGACCACAACTGAGCCCAAATTTTCTGTTGCTCAGTGAGACATGTGTTAAGTGAGTTATACCCCATTTTGCAACTTTTCTTGCCAGAGGTCGTTAAGTGAATCTGGCTTCCTTGATGTTGCTTGTCAGAAGGTCACAAAAGGAGATCACGTGAGCCTAGGGCACTGCAACTGTCATAAATAGGAAGCAGTTGCTTGTAATGGTGGTACGTGGCGTGAAAAACGGTTGTTAAGTCACTTTTTTTCAGTGACATGGAAACTTCGAACGAATTGAACTGCGATAAGTCGAGGACTACCTGTACAATTTCCAACATTTCCTACCACTGGCAATGCTTCCTAGCTCCCTGCAAGGCACAGGATGTTATCCATGGCCTAAGTGGTTTTGTTTGCTTATATGTTGGTTTCCTTTTGCAGTTGTTATGGGGAGATAAAATGCATGCTAAACTCCTGTTCCCAGGGCTGGGCTGCTGGGGGTTCGCAGGGGTTCGGAAGAACCTCTAGCTAAGATTCTGTGCAGTTCGGAGAACCCCCAAATCAGGGGTGGGATTCTACTGGTTCTGTCCGGCTCTGTAGAACCGGTAGCTCTGAAGAGCAGCAGACATAGAACCGGTTCTGTCTGCTGCTGTTTTGGCCCACCCGCCTGCCCGGGCTCTTACCTGACCTTTATTTCCTGCTTTTTCAACCTCGGCTTCCGTGCGAGGCATAGCTGCAGTTGAAAAAGCAGGAAAAAAGTGCTTTTTCAAACGCTGCTTCCCTGCACGCAGCGCTGCTCAGCTGTCCAGGCAGCAAGCTGACGAAGATTTACATGCACACGCAGCATGCAGGGAAGCACATCGTAAATCACCAAACTGGTAGTTAACCCTGTCGGATCCCACCCCTACCCCAAATCCCACTCCTGACTGGTTTTACCCACCCCTTCCCTCCCCTCCCAGGAGTCCTCACACGGCCCATTTTAGATGCAAGTAAGTGCAGGGTGCGTGTGGAGGCTCAGGGACGGTGAAAAATGGGCCTGCCAGGAGTTCAGGAAGGCCAGAAATGGGCCTGTTTCCAGCTTCCAGAGAGCCTCCGGAGCCCGGGGAGGTCGTTTTCACACTCCCAGAGACTCGAGTTAAGCCTCCGGAGCCCGGGAGGGCAAAAATGCCCCCCCCCCCGTGGTTCAGGAGACCAACTAGGCCATGCCCACCATGGCCACGCCCACCCATCAACTGGCAGAGAACCGTTGCTAAAATTTTTGAAGCGCACCCCTGCCTGTTCCCCTTTATATTTAGAACCTATGAATAAGTAAGGTAATAGTAAGGAGGTCTCTCAGCAGTCCCTTTTTTCCGAAGCCGAGCAGACAGACCGTAATCAGATTCTTGGCAGGAACTTTTCAACATCTGTGAGCCCTAAGCAACTGCCCAACACCACCAGTTTCTGGTGCCAGCTGTGCTCAAACCCACCATAAAAACAATCCTCACGATCGTTGCCTCTGGCACCAAAAGAAGAGCTCACAATTGATACATTCTACAGAGAAATTACAAATATTATTTAAAAAACAAAAACAAAAACAAAAAAAACCCACCGTGGACTAAACAGATGTCCTGAGTTACAGAGATAGACAGATGCATAAATGCGTAAGGACCTCTTGAGTGGCAACAACACTAACTAAAACACATGTTTCATTAGGGCAGCGTTCATCTACTTTGTATTCTCCAGCTCGGCTACGATCAGAGAACATTTAGAGTTATCAAATCTGGATTGCAAAAAACACCCCAAAGAGCCTCTAAATCGCAGCAAAGATTTTTAATTTTTTTTTCTTGCATGTCCTCTAGAAATTATCCCAATGTTTCCACACCAGCTTTGGTGGCTTCATCAGCCTCTCCATCCAGCCAAGAATACAAGATGTTTTAAAATTTCGTCGAACAAAAAAAAAAAATGAATTCAAATGAACAAAATGAAAAAAAAAATTAAAATATGCCAGGGGTGATAGGCACGTTAATGCTCCCACGGACTTCCCCTAAGGAACCTCTTAAATATGGAGTGAGTTCCAGTTGGAATGAAAACTGTGAAAGTTAGCAGCTGAGACAGCTGAACCGGATAAGTGACTACTCGGTTACAAAAATCAATATTTTTTACAATCAAGTTTAAAGCGGTTTATATGAAGTTTAAAGTGGTTGTTAGCATGCGTTATGATTAAAACTAAAAAAAAAAAAATCATTTACAGCTAGGACATTCCTGTGTACAACTTTGTATGCAATACCTAAATCTGACCGCAAGCCTCAACAAGTTCTAAACCAAGA